TGAGGTGGAGACATTTAGTAGGCAATGTATTTTTTGCTTTGATTTGAGAAATAATCTGTTAGATATCTATAATGACTTGTATGTCCTGTTTTTCCAAGAATTCATTTGTATTTGAAATTATTGTTTTCAAATCTCCATTGAAAAGAATGTATTCCGTACAGTATGAGACATTTTAGCACAGTATATCAATCGAAAAAGAGAAAATTAAATTTAGCCCGACCTAAAGTCTGCGAAAATAAAAGAAAGTTGCAGTCTTAACTCGTCTACTGAAGGGTTGGTTTAAAGAGTGTGACTGGGGTATTTTGAATAAATTACAAATTGGAGATACCTAAATAGTTCTTGAAATTTCCTTTCTTTGTTTCCTGTCAGTACTGTGTATCACCATATTTTATGTTGTTAATAGTGTAGTTGCAAAAGTATGGAGTTGCAAGGAACAGCATTTTGTACTTGTTTGATTTAGATATCCCAAAATTTGTAATTTATTCTAAATTTAAGTAAGGTCCCTGAGAACTCATGTCAAAATATCAGGGTGGATTTTCAAGGTTTCCTATTAAAACTGCATTTAGATTATTTTTTTAATCCTTTCATCACAAGTAAGGCGATAAAAGGTCTAAGATGCAAGGGGTTACCGAATTTACAGGAAAGTGAGAAAAGCTTATTTATTAGAAAGGTCAAGAAACGAACATGATTTGCGGACACGTACAAACAAACAAGTACAGAAATGTTGTTTCTTTCACCCTCCATATTTTTGTAGGTACAACTATTAACAATATAAAATATGCAAATGACAGAGTGTTGATAGGAAACAAGGAACGGAAACTACAAGAACTCCCATAGATGGTAGTGAAGGGAAGCGAGAATTAAAGAGTAAACATCAATGGTAAAAAATAAATAAAGATAAAACGGAATAAATCTTAGTAAAAGCAACAGCCCACCCGGTAGATTAAAAATTGGAGATACCAAATTCAAACAAGTTCAACAATTTAAAGATCTATAAAGCGTTTTAACAGAGAATGGAATGTGCGACATGGAAATCCGAAGGCGCATTAGGATAGCGAAATATGCCTTCCAAGAGCCAAGCAGAGTATTAAGAAACAGAAAAAATTCGTTAGAAACTAAAAAAATTAAAAAAAAAAATAAATAAAGGACTGTTAGGTAATAGAACTTCTACTTTATGGCAGATGAAGTGTAGAATTGAGTCATCAGAAATGTAGTTCTACAGGAGGATACTGAGGATACCATGGACCGCATATGTGAGCAACGACTAAGTTTTAGAGAAGATGGAAACAAAAGGAAAATTATACTTAACATCAGGAAGAGACATTTGAAATGGCAGTGGCAATTAATGAGGAAAGAGGACTTGGAAATACTAATACTCACGGGACTGATTAAAGTAAGCTGGACAGAGGAAAACAACGCAAAACGTACTTAATGACATTGAGTAAATGGCTGGCGGAAAAAGGAGAGATAAGGTGGAAATTTGCCACTTTGTGTTGATCTAAAGTTTGTTTTTTTCCCACCATAATTTCTAGCTCCCAAAAGCAATTTCAGTCAACGTCAATTAATTTCCATTTGTCTCTTTAGCAGAGTGGTTCTACAGGAGGAATCTGAGGGTAACATGGACCGCATATGTGAGTAACGACGAAATTTTAGAGAAAATGAAAACAAAAAAAAATTATATTTATCATCAAGAAGAGACAGTTGAAATATCAATGGCAATTAATGAGGAAAGAGGACTCGGAAATTCTAATACTCACAGGGCTGATTAAAGTAAGGGGGGACAGAGAAAAACAACGCATAACCTACTTAGTGGATGGCGGAAAAAAGGGAGATAACAAAAAGACAGCATTTATTAAGAGCTACAAAGAAAAGGAAATTGGGGAGAGCCATGATCTTCTACGTTATAAAGGGAAACGGCACCTAGAAATAGAATTTCGTATTTTAAAATTCACAAATATTTGAATGGAAAATCGTCTAATTTTGAGACAGGTGGAAATTTGCCACTTTGTGTTGATCTAAAGTTGTTTTTTTTTCTTTTCCCTTCATAATTTCTAGTTCCCAAAAGCAATTTCAATCAACGTCAATTCATTTTCCTTTGCCTCTTTAGCAACAGTTATTATAAAAACATCAAAAAACAGAAAATATATATCCGAGTCTCAAATTCGTCACTGTTTATCAATTTAATGTTTATCTTTGTCATTTCCTTGGTTCAAACGCACAATGTTAATTCAACAAAACTTTCTATCTGAAATTCAAATCCAGAAAATAGTTTTCAAATTTGATGTCATTCATCTAATCACGTAAACCAAGATTTATCAACAGGTTTTAACTCAGATTCGTTCGACTTTGATATTTTTTTTTTTAACAAGACCATCATTAAATATTAGCTGCTATAAATCAGTTCAGTTATTTAATATCTTTTAGCATGATCGACATCGGTTTTGTCAACAAATCTAGAAAGAATTTTGAATCTGTCTTTTCTGTCTCGGCTCCTTCAGGTCGATCAAACAACGGATTGAAATGTTTGGATTTAGTGCCGTTCCTCCAACCGAGAAAGAATTATTTCATAACGATTTATTTATTTATTTATTTATTTTGAATTTCACTTTCTTTCTTTCTTGTTTCATTCTTATTTTTCTTTCAATTTCTTTTATTTAATGTTTTTATTTGTTTTCCTACTTTTCATGTTTTTCTATTTCTTTCATTCTTTTTGTTTTTCCTTTTGTTATATTTCTTCTTCCTTTCTCCCTTTTGATTTTCTGTTTTTTCTTTATTTTTTCAAACTTTTCTTCTATTTTCTTTCTGATTTTCTTTTTCATTCTGTTTTCTTTCTCTTTTTCCTGTCTTTCTTTTTTCCTTTCTTTTCTTCTTTTTCATTTTTCTTTTTTTTTTTTTCTTTATTTTATTTTCTGTCTTTCATTCTTTTTCATTTTTTCTTAATTTTATTTTCTATTTTTTCCGCAATTTTATTTCCTCCTCTCTCAATTTTCTTTCTGTCTCTCTTTTTTCCTTCTTTCTTTCGTTCTATATTTTCCTTTCTTTCTTTGATTCTATATTTTTTTCTATCTATTCTAATCTTTCTTTATTTTCCTCTTTCATTCTTAAATTTTCTTTCTTTGGTTTATTGTTATTATCGCTTTTTCACTTATTTCGTGAGAATATTAATTTTCTGATTTTATTAACAAGAAATACATTTAGTCGGGAATTGAAGAATTTAAGGTGTGTATTTCAAAAAGCAAAATATCATTTAAAGAATAAAATTACGAACAATATTCGAGGGTAAAAATGGCCACAAATTTTTCTCATTTTTACTAGTGCAGATATTTAGGAATATATATTTTACGCACACACATACAAATATATACATATATATACGCGTGTGTGTGTATTAATAGAATGAAAACATTCCTTTATATATAACTCAATCTGAGTGATACATGTTTCATTGAAATTAGTGAAAGGAATAATTCATTTTTTTAAATTTAATTTTAACCTGAAACAATGCATGGTTGGTTACAGCAAGTGTAAATATTGTTGGAGCTTTTGTCATAGAGGGCTTTCAGCCATAAATCAGACAACATCTGCACTCCTATGACAAAAGTAGACACTGATTAATGTTAATTAAAAACTAAGAGAAAACTCAATCTTTCATTGTAAATACAATATATCAGTGAAATACTATTTACATTATTCGGACTATTGTCTTCATCTTTGTTGCATTATTTATTAAAACATTTCGGCCGTTGTGCGCTCCTGCCTTCTTCAGGTCGTTGGAATGTCGAACTGAACCCTTTATTTAGCTCACTGGGGTAGACTGTTCTAGTTCCACGTGGATAAAGGCGTGGAATAGATCCAGTGACAGGAACCAAAAAAGTGAGAGTTTAATACCCGGTTAAGGCAGTGGAGAACTTGGAGAGGGAAATTAACAGGAGATAACTAATAACTGACATCCATTAGACATGACATGTGGAACTAGAACAGTCTACCCAAGGTGGGGAATCACGGTAGTTTATACGGTGTAACACCGTGATTCCCAGCTGATGAGACGTCTAAAAAAGGTTTTCCCTTTTTTGACGTTGAAACAAAAATGTACACTTTTGTAGTGGATATGTGCATGCTCTAATGTAACACTGCATAAGATATAGAACTATTTACGGCTCTACTTTGTGCATTGAGCACTATTTTTTAAATTAATGTTTTGTTTGTAATATATATATATATATATATATATATATATATATATATATATATATATATATATATATATGCGTGTGCAATAATCACTATATTGTCTGTTGATCAAATTTCCTTGTTTAATAGACACTTGAATTCTTCTGGAATTATCTATGTGTGTGTCAGCGTGCGCATGTGTATTCACAAACAGACACACACACACACACATATATATATATATATATATATATATATATATATATATATATATATATATATATATATATATATATATATATATATGTCTGTGTGGTGATTATTGCGTAATCGTTATTTTTAGTGGACACATATTATCGTTCTTTGATTTTTTTTTTATTTTCTTAAAAGTTTACATTAATGCTTAACTTTAGTCACACGAAAGAAAATTTTGCCTCCCCACAGGAATCGAACCCGTATTCCATTATTCCATCTGGAACAGCAATCCATGGAATAATGAGCACTAAAAATGTTAATGATGAACCAAAGTTGTTCTCTTGGGTTAATACAAAGAGATGCTGGGCGCGAATTCCATTAATTTATTGTATTTGCAACCATGATGGTCATGGTAGTCAATAGTCAAATTTCTAAAGGAACATTGTCATACATGATTATATTACTTAGCTTAAAGTTTCTTTCTTTTGACATCTACTATCGAAAATAGGTCCTTGCTAAGAATTTAGACAATTCTCGATATTTATGTTGACATCAACAACTTTGAAGAAATCCATAATTTTACTGCTTCCCGTTTGCTAGGCTCTATGTCAGGTAATTTCAGAGTCTCTCTAAATGACAGAAACTCTAACATTGTCATCAGATGAATCTAAAGCAGACCTACTTTCTAAAATAGCAATTATAGTTGAGATGACAGTTTTCATGTACTGCTTCGCAGAATATTCTTAATGTCTTTCTTTTTTTTTTTCATTTTTATAATCCGAACATCCTATTTTTCTGATAATTTATATTCCCAAGACCAGCTTTTACAAATACTATATTGTCTGTTGATCAAATTTCCTTGTTTAATAGACATTGTTCTGGAATATATTTTTATTACAGTCGTAAAGATTTTATATTGTCCTCGTGCTTATGTGACAGTTTTTTCATTTTCATTTCTCAGTCTTTGGTCATCTTTAGTCATAATTTTACGAAATTTTAAACGTTTTCTTCGAATTACTCATTTATAGTTATTTCGCTTTTGACATATCATGCTTGCACCCAGTGACATTTGGAATAGAGTTAATACATAAACATAAAAACCGAACTGAAATACATCGGAAGTGACGGTGAGTTCATTATATATATATATATATATATATATATATATATATATATATATATATATATATATATATATATATATAAAGAAGTAAGCATACAAAGAATTAATCAGTAAAGTTGATGTAATTAATGGCGAAATCACCTCGCTAATATATTTAATAAAGCATTAACTTACTAATCACTCGTTCCAAAATTGTACTGTTAATAAATAGCACACTCTTAAAAAATCCTTTCGCCTGGAATACATTTATTTTAGTCTTGGAAATTTACCGAAAATGAAAAATTTATTAATGCCTGACGATGGAAACGTGAATGTTGTCGAAAGTACTAGCAATAGAACAGCTAATCCATCTTAAAATTTTAAACATAAGTATCACGTCATTCAAAAATTGGTTAGTAAGTTAATGCTTTATTAAATCTGTTAGCGAAGTAATTTCGCCATTAATTACATTAGCTTTCCTAATTAATTCTTTACATATACTGTACCATTTGATATATATATATATATATTGTGAAGAGAGAGAGATAAGTAAAAATATAGAGATACTGAATGAATGATATATTCTTACCTATCTATCTATAGTGAGAGAGACAAAGAGAGAGAGTAAGAGAGCGTGGGAGAGATGTTTGCTCAAGGATAAAAATCATTTATACGTATGCTTACTATCTGCAAATCTATATGTCTATCTATATAGAGAGAGAGAGAGAAAGAGAGAGAGAGAAGACAGAAAGGAAGAAAGAAAGAAAGAGAACATGAAAGTAAATAAGTGAGAGAGAGAGAGAGGTGTGTTTTGCAAGTGCTTGTGTGAGTGTGTGTGTGTCATAGAACAAAAATCATTTATATATATATGCTAACCTATCTATCTATGCATATATATATATATATATAGAGAGAGAGAGAGAAGAGAAGAAAGAAAGAGAACGTGAAAGTAAATAAGTGAGAGTGAGAGAGAGAGAAGTGTGTTTGTGCATGTGCTTTTTTGCGTGAGTGTGTCTGTGTGTCATAGAACACAAATCATTTATATATATGCTTCCTATCTATCTATCATATATATATATATATATATATATATATATATATATATATATATATATATATATATATATATATATATATATATATATATATAGAGAGAGAGAGAGAGAGAGGAGGTAGAGATAGAAAATGAGAGAGTAAGTGAGAGTGAGAATGCTGCGTTTTGCGTGTGTGTATGTGTGTAATAGGACAAAAATCAATTCTGTTAGGAAATGATCGTTTAATATCAATGAACGATGAATAACAAACCGTTTCCTGATTGAAATATAACATGCACCTATTGTAAAAACAATGACGAACGCGAAGAATAATATGTGAATCCGAAAAACTATATGTATTTTATTCTTTGATATTTACAGATAATCAGCGATATTCTTCTATTACCGTTATTGTGTATATTTCCTCTCTAAACGCGGCAAATTATGAATGATATATTTATGTTTTATGTGTGTGTGCGTGCGTGTGTGCTTCCGTGTGTCTGTGTGTGTGTCCGCATCTGTGTCTGTGTGCATATATATTACGCTATATAAATATATACATATTTTTTGTTATAATGTATATATATATATATATATATATATATATATATATATAGAGAGAGAGAGAATTCGTGATAGAGAAAGAGAAAGAGTGAGAATTTATTTAAACGCACTAAACCCTCCAACTGCAACGAAGTGTAGCATTTTTCACAACCGCACAAACACACACTCAAGCATACATGCAACAAACATACATGCGACATGTATATATTTATTGCATATTTCAACATGCATACATATATATATATATATATATATATATATATATATGAATGTGTGTGTGTGTGTGTGACTGCAAAATGTAAACACATCTGCTAATTTTTTGATACTATGTTATATATGATTTAATATATTCACAAAAAGAAAGAAAGAAAGAAAGAAAGAAAAAAGAAAAGAAAAAAAGATATATATAAGAAATGGTTATTTGCATAATGGTGTCAATTGAATCAGTTGCCTGCAAGAACAGTAAATATACAATTTGCATATTGTCAACGCAAATATTTTGCATATTTAAAAGTAATTAAGCATAAAATATTTTTCACGAACGTTTTGTCCACATGAAATTCAAATATGCACTCACTGTTAGTGGTTATATT